GAAGAAGTCGTCGAAGAAGAGAGATCCGAAAACAAAGATTTTTCACATGGGATTCGAATACACGAAGGCGTGGAGTTCGCACCTTAAGATTGTATTTCGGTGTAGTGTATATCGTAGCACCGGGTGCAAAGCTCGACTGGCAATTCGACCAACCACCAGTGGATACGAGTTGGTGAACATGCACACCTGCGTGCAGCCTACCTCGGGAACAGACGCAGATATCGTTGACTGTACGACTGCTATGAAGCTTCGCGTTGATAGTCTATCTGTTCTGGAATTGACGAACCAGTGCACGAGGTGTGGCAGGAAGTGAGCGCCGAGTTTTACCTGGATGACGACATGATTAGGAGAGGCCTATAGGAAGAGCAAGTCAAAAGTCGAGTTTACCGTGTCCGGCAAAAGCACTATGGGGCTTACTTACTTGGACGCATCGAAGTACCTCCACTATCAATGGTAGAGGGAAAGATGCTGAGCTTTTTCCAGTTCCACCTGTCAAGACCGAAGGCTGACCCCACCACCAAGCCAGACCGGGTCATTGGCTGGGCTCACCCAGAACTCCGACAGTTACTGATGTACAACGGTGTTTCGCTCTTCTTTGATGGTACATTCCGATGTGTACCCACGGGATTTAAACAGTGCATGGTTATGATGGTGTACGACCAAGCCAGTGAGTTATTTGTTCCAGTGTACTTCGTTCTTTGCAGCTCCAAGGCTAAAGACATGTACTTCGACATTCTCGAGCTGATTTATAGAGACACCTCAGAGAAGCTCGAGCCATGTGACGTCGTCTGTGACTTCGAGATGCCAATGATACAGGCCATTGAGAAGCAGTTCCCGAACGCTGAAGTGATCGGCTGCCTGTTTCACTTTAAACAGGCAGTGCGACGGCAAATGAAAACAACGTACAGTATTCCTGATGCGGAGGTTCGCATTGCTATGGAAAAAGGCGTGCTTGACGTGCTCACAGTGATTGATCCGAATTTGGTTCCTCGACATGGCATCCGGTGGGTTAAACGCACTATTCGAGCCAAGTGTGCTGCAACCGGGATCGGTTACACCCGTATCAAGTGGAAGCAGTTCTGGGGATACTTTCGCGCTACTTGGCTGGAGCGGTACAACATTGAATCGTGGAATGTTCATGGTTTAGACAACGGTCTCGTCGCTAGAACAAACAATCCTCTCGAACGATTTAATAGGGAGCTAAATAGATCGTTCCCGACGCCTCATCCCAATATTACCACATTTGTCAACGTGATCCGGACAATATCTCAAGATTACGTTACCAAGTTGACCAACGTGGCGCAAGGGCGACGAAGCAGAGGCAACAAAACCAATGCAAACAAAAAGAGAGGACGGCGACGAGCCAACACAAGCGGTGCCGACGGGGCAAGCGTCGAGACGATTGATCTTCCCAATCCAGTGGTTTTTACGGACGAAGACTTCGCCTCTGATTTTGATAGTGAAGACGAGATGCAAGGCAGCGATGTTGATTCTGTGGTAGAGCGTGAGGTCGCCGACGTAGCTGACAGTGACGAAGATGCGCTTCCGGACTTCTCGTTTGATCCCAGTGAGTATTGCGATGACGATGAGTCGACTGCCAACGGAGATGACCAGAGTGTGCAAGCAGCTATTGTTTAGAGACCTTTAGTGCAGGTGCGGACGGATAACCAGAAGTTGTTATCTCACCAGCAACAACTTTGTGGTAGGGGCTAGATGTAGTGAGCGTTTTGGACGCTACGAACTAGGGACTCCGATAGACTATTTCCTGGGTCGTATACAGATCTGTTCGTGAGTTTGGTCGCGTCATTTTGACGACGCAAACATCAGATCCGATCAGCAATAGGTTGATCACAAAGTGTCCTGCAATCTAAACTTTGAGGTGGACGTGTTACCACTTTTGAATGTTTTATTATTACTTTGGGTTGTTTTATCATCATGTTTGAGTCGTTTATCATCGATTTTAGATAGATTATCATTGATGTTATACTGAATATCACCGAATTTGGATACAGATACGTAGTATTAAAAGGGTACATGTATTTAAGCATGAGGGAGTCCCTAGTTCGTAGCGTCCAAAACGCTCACTACATCTAGCCCCTACCACAAAGTTGTTGCTGGTGAGATAACAACTTCTGGTTATCCGTCCGCACCTGCACTAAAGGTCTCTAAACAATAGCTGCTTGCACACTCTGGTCATCTCCGTTGGCAGTCGACTCATCGTCATCGCAATACTCACTGGGATCAAACGAGAAGTCCGGAAGCGCATCTTCGTCACTGTCAGCTACGTCGGCGACCTCACGCTCTACCACAGAATCAACATCGCTGCCTTGCATCTCGTCTTCACTATCAAAATCAGAGGCGAAGTCTTCGTCCGTAAAAACCACTGGATTGGGAAGATCAATCGTCTCGACGCTTGCCCCGTCGGCACCGCTTGTGTTGGCTCGTCGCCGTCCTCTCTTTTTGTTTGCATTGGTTTTGTTGCCTCTGCTTCGTCGCCCTTGCGCCACGTTGGTCAACTTGGTAACGTAATCTTGAGATATTGTCCGGATCACGGTGACAAATGTGGCAATATTGGGATGAGGCGTCGGGAACGATCTATTTAGCTCCCTATTAAATAGTTCGAGAGGATTGTTTGTTCTAGCGACGAGACCGTTGTCTAAACCATGAACATTCCACGATTCAATGTTGTACCGCTCCAGCCAAGTAGCGCGAAAGTATCCCCAGAACTGCTTCCACTTGATACGGGTGTAACCGATCCCGGTTGCAGCACACTTGGCTCGAATAGTGCGTTTAACCCACCGGATGCCATGTCGAGGAACCAAATTCGGATCAATCACTGTGAGCACGTCAAGCACGCCTTTTTCCATAGCAATGCGAACCTCCGCATCAGGAATACTGTACGTTGTTTTCATTTGCCGTCGCACTGCCTGTTTAAAGTGAAACAGGCAGCCGAACACTTCAGCGTTCGGGAACTGCTTCTCAATGGCCTGTATCATTGGCATCTCGAAGTCACAGACGACGTCACATGGCTCGAGCTTCTCTGAGGTGTCTCTATAAATCAGCTCGAGAATGTCGAAGTACATGTCTTTAGCCTTGGAGCTGCAAAGAACGAAGTACACTGGAACAAATAACTCACTGGCTTGGTCGTACACCATCATAACCATGCACTGTTTAAATCCCGTGGGTACACATCGGAATGTACCATCAAAGAAGAGCGAAACACCGTTGTACATCAGTAACTGTCGGAGTTCTGGGTGAGCCCAGCCAATGACCCGAACTGGCTTGGTGGTGGGGTCAGCCTTCGGTCTTGACAGGTGGAACTGGAAAAAGCTCAGCATCTTTCCCTCTACCATTGATAGTGGAGGTACTTCGATGCGTCCAAGTAAGTAAGCCCCATAGTGCTTTTGCCGGACACGGTAAACTCGACTTTTGACTTGCTCTTCCTATAGGCCTCTCCTAATCATGTCGTCATCCAGGTAAAACTCGGCGCTCACTTCCTGCCACACCTCGTGCACTGGTTCGTCAATTCCAGAACAGATAGACTATCAACGCGAAGCTTCATAGCAGTCGTACAGTCAACGATATCTGCGTCTGTTCCCGAGGTAGGCTGCACGCAGGTGTGCATGTTCACCAACTCGTATCCACTGGTGGTTGGTCGAATTGCCAGTCGAGCTTTGCACCCGGTGCTACGATATACACTACACCGAAATACAATCTTAAGGTGCGAACTCCACGCCTTCGTGTATTCGAATCCCATGTGAAAAATCTTTGTTTTCGGATCTCTCTTCTTCGACGACTTCTTCATTGGCCTTTGGAGATTTCGGGAGTATGTACCCTCTTCACTATGTCTTGCCGTGGTGGCTCCACAGTGACAGGATGCAAGATGAATAGTGAAGGCGGGTCTTCCTACGCGGCGAGCTAGCTTCAGCAGATAAGATACCCAGGTATAAGCAGCGAAACTGCAGATAACAGGTGGCTGTGGCGTGGTCAGATTCGATGGCAATATCGGTACTTGTGATGGGTGGTAGCTAAGTTTAACTATGGTTTGCGTATGCCTTATGCCTTGCTCTTGAAGTCGATAGGCAATCTAAAAAGGATGATAATCGATCCGAAGTACAAAATCGATGATAAAGTACCAAGGAATGATGATAATGTATCCAATTACGACGATAACACATCCAAAAGGGATAACTAGATCGTCTGCGACTTACACTGGGAATACATGATCTTAGAACTTTTAATCACATACTAAGTACGATATTTTGGATGTTGTCCGAACGTTGACCCATTTACGTTACGCTCACGCAATTAATCCTGTTTGGGCTGTCCATTACTCATTCTGAGGTATTCCCAGTATAAGAAATTTAAAAGCGATGATAATCCACCCAAAAGATATGATACCGCAATGCACTCTTTTTTGTTGAGCCCGACCCGCAATTACGATCTATTAAAATGACGACCCGTAAGCCGAGCAGACCCGTATACGACCCAGTAGATAATCTACCTGTTGAGCCACCATCCTCTGTAGACTCTACCAAAGGATCCAGCCAAAAACGGTTGTTGATCTTTTCGAACTTCACGACTTGGAATATACCAATCGAGTCGCAGATACGATGTCTACAACCGCAGTTTTAGACTGCGTTGTATCGGGCTGCTCGCTGAGTATTCCTCGAATCAGATATCGACAGTTCAGTCGAGCAAGTTCTGCTGCAGATCGGCCACAACTGTCAAGCAGATCCATGATGGCTCTATTGTCGAGGAGTAAGCGAACAATCTCTTCATGTCCTCTGCACGAAGCTTTCATCAACGGCGTCTGATCCTCCGAGTCGCACCATGGTTAAAACGCACGATCTCATCATGCCCCTCATCCGCTGCGAGCATCAAAGCTGTCCGGTTATCGTTCGCCTCCATTTCCACCTCGGTTCCTTTGTCAGAAGAAGCGAGGCGATGTCGACGTGTCCTCGTTGCGAAGCTATCATAAGCGGAGTCCATCCAATGCCATTAGACACGTTGACGTCTGCTTCTTTCTCCAACACCAAACGAACTGCCTCAGTCTGTCCAGCCAGTACAGTCTCGTTGAGCGTTGTATCGTCGTCGTTATCTTGATTTAAGATATCTGCACCGCTTGATGACAGGAGTTTAAATGCGTCAATGTGCCCGGCAACTATCGCAAACTTGAAGAACCGAGCAGTTGTTGTTCCCAGGCTCGTTGACATCAGCTCCGTGGCCCAGCAGTAATTGAATACACTCTGTATCCCCTCCTGTCGCCGTGAAGCGCAACGCAGTATCACCCTTCTGTGCCTTGAGCTTCCCCGAGGCCCCAGCCTTCAATAAACACTCCACCATTTCAAAGTGTTTGTTCTGAGCCGCCAACATTCGTGTAGTGTTCCCGTACATGTCCGAAAGATCGCTACTAGCGCCATGGTCCACCAGCACATTGGCCAAACATCGCTGTGCTTAACAGTCTCGAAGACCCATCATCGCACACTGCGTCAATGACAGCCCCGGTCTGTAACAGAGCTTCCGCAATATCATCATGGCCAGCTTGAGCTGCAATAGCTAAACGACAGCCAAGTGGCCTTCTTGAGCAGCGACTAACGCAGTGGCTCCATCGTGAGTAACCTGGTCAATCTCTGCCCCGTTTTCGAGCAACAGCTTCACAATGTCCATATTTCCTCTGGCTGTAGCCGAAGACAGCGCAGTAGAACCACCATAGCCCCTAGTGTTGACAGCTGTGTGCTTTTCAATGAGGAAACGTATGACCTCGTAGTGAACGTTTTGTGCAGCACGAAATAAGGCTGTAAAGCCGTCCTCGTCAGCCTTTTCAATGTCCGCATCGTTGTCCAGCAATACTCAAGCGACATTAACGTGACCGGATACACCAGCTCCGATGAGAGGTGTAACTTCTCTGACAGTAGGCTTGTCGACTTCAGCTCCACGCTCTACCAAATACTGAACAGCTTCGGTTTGACCATGTCCAGCAGCCCACGTAAGTGGAGAGTAGCCATCGTTATCGGTCTGGTCCATGGCAGCTCCTTTCTCCAGGAGCAACTGCATTACATCGATGTAGCCACTTGCCGCAGCAAGCATCAACGGCGTGGCGCCATCATTTGCAGTCAAGTCAATAGCAGCCCCCTTTTCCGGTAGCAACCGAACGATATCTATGTAGCCTCTTGCAGATGCGAATATGAGCGGAGAGCATCCGATAGAATCCTGGGCATCGACTGTAGCACCTCTATCCAGTAGCGACGGCGCGGTAGCAGTGTGATCTGTTTGAGCAGCGCTGGATAAAACTGTATTACCACCACCATTCACTTGATCGATATCGCATCCAAAGTCTAGAAGTTCTCGAATGACTCCTACGCGGCCAATAATTGCTGCGCAAGTGAGCGGTGTGTTTCCATTCTCGTCTGTCGTGTTAAAGTTTGCTCCCTTCTCCAATAGTAGTCGGACTATATCCTCTTAACCATTTTGACAAGCACAGACGAGAGACGTGAACCCTGTTGGTGCAGCCAAGTTGACGTCCACCCCATTCTGCAGCAAAAGTCGAACAACATTGACGTGTCAATTTGTGGCCGAGTGATGAAGTGCACAGGAGCCATTTTTCATCTGTGCCGTTGACATCCACTTTTGTCGCTAATAAACTCACTACCAGACCGAGATTTCCATTGCCAGCGGCCACAATAAGATCGTTGACACTCACCATTTCAGTAAACATGCTGCCTTGCGAATTGCAAGTTTCGATTGTGAGATGGGAGATAGGTTAACCCACAGCTGCTCGAAGTTGTCTTCAAGGTAGTCAGTCGGTTGTTCATATCCTGAGTGATGCACGCCTCACTGCATTTGTTAGTGATCGACACTAACCAACTAGTTCAGCTACTTGACGCGACTTCACTTAACCTCGTCGACGATCTCCGGCGTGGTAAATTCAATACAAAAAGCGACTGGATCATAACCAAGTTCTAATCAGTGGTTATACCGCCAAGAGGTCCCCATATACGTTCCGTACGGGGGAATGCAATTTCGAGTATGTGTACATCATCGATGCGATGTCTCGTGCCACGTGAGTAAGTATTTCCAAGTGTACTATCCTTAGAAAAAAGGTGACAGGCTGCTACACCTACTAGGACCTGACACTGACACGATAAGGAAAATGGCTGACCTAATGTTGGGCATACGCTGTTCTAGATTAGGATTGTAGGTAGCACTACCCCATCCGAAGCCGCTGCCATATCAGTTGCTTTGTAGTCGCTGACACAGCTCGGATATCAGCTACTGCAGGCAGTCGTAACCATTGTACACCTTGTCGCTGCAAGTTGTAGTTCATAACCGCGATCAGCCACGGTCATTGCACTACATCGTGTCCTATTTGTGATCGTAGTTATCGTTGCTGGCAGACACTTTCATTAGTGTAGATTGGTGTTTTCACCATCACCGCAACCACAAAGTCTTGGGTCATAGTAGTTGCAGAATTTCTTGCCCAAATACGGCAGTCAAATCTCTCGTTATATTGACTGCGCAAGAAATTCTGCAACTACTCGTTTTTATAGTACTACTAAGATGGGTTTAATGATGTCCTTATGCTGGTCTCTCCACCCCGCCTTGACACAGAATCCAGTTCAGACTTCTACGAGAGTTTATATGGAGTCTACGGTTGGGTCTTCTAGAACAGAAATGCTTAAGGATTACTTGCAGGTCGATTAGATCAAGCAATTCTAGCCCCCCCCCCCCCCCCCCATTCTTGGCGCCCAAGTATTAGTAGGAATGGCAGTGAGGCGCCAACTTGGTTCCTACAACGACTACGGACACCGTTTGCAAAAGTGTGAACACGACCACAATGACGAATAACACCAAGACACTGGCTTTGATGCCAGATCGTCTACCTTACCGGCACTCTGACGTATTGCCAAGAATACAGCAAAGCCATGCTAATTGTCAGTATCGTGGCAGCCTTCTTGATTGGCTCGGCAAGTCGGCTGAATAGTTTGTGTAATACTAAGTACAATCCGGATAACATCTGAATATATGACTCGAAAATTAACGGAATATATCCCAATATTTAGTTACATGTACACCACCTTGCAGCTTATACGATAGCCTCATCAACCGTCAGCAAACACTATCTTTTGATCCAGGAAGCGTACAGCTTAGAATATGAGGGGGAGGTGTGTGGTCGCTCACTTATCAGCAGACAGCGACTCACGGACAGTAAAGTTGGAATGCGGTCTAGCCAGTGAAAACAAAGGGTCAGAATTTGAAGTTATGTCTAAATACCCCATGGCACTAAGCCGTCACTTACTTCCAGCATGACAGGAGTCATCCTGACGCTTCTCTGTGTCTTACTGTACCGAGATCACTCGATGGTGTCATCTCGGGCACCGAACCTGGTCACCCACGGGACAACGGTACACCGCGCCATAGACATCGTATCCACCGAGTTTCTAAACTATCGACGAGGTTGAACCAAGTGGCTGCACAAGGCGTCCATTCTAGTGTCTTCATGTATCACGAATAACTCCCGTAACGTAATAGTCACACCGTACAGCAAGAAACAAGATCATACCTATTGGCTTTGCATTCATTACTACTGCCTCTTCTTTTATCTACGCTACAATTTTTCCTCGCGGGCTTACATCACCATTACCCGTCACCTACTCTTCCCACACAGCATGCCTTGTTTCAGCTTCTTCATTTGCCCTTCGTCTTGTCAGTAGGATCCGACTTGGTCTCCTTCGACGATTTTGCTTTCGACCCCGTTTTGCTCTCCTTCTCGACTGACTTGGCATCCACAGCGTCCGTGGACACAGTTGCAGGCTCTTTCTCACCACCAACGGCGCCAGCATTCGTTTGGGCAGACTCGTAGCCAGAGTAGCCCGGGTAGCCGTAGCCGTAATTGGAGTAGCCGTAGCCGTAATCGGGGTAACCGTAGCCGTAGCTAGGGTAGCCGTATCCATACGACGAATAGTAGTCCGGGTAGTAGCCGTAGCCATAGCCGTCGTAGTCCTTACCGTAGGACGAGTAGTAATCGGGGTAGTAGCCGTAGCTGTAGTCCTTGCCATAGCTGTAGTAGTCGTTGCCGTGGCCATAGTAGTCGTCGCTGTAGTCATCGCAGTCACCGCCATAGCTCTTGTAGCCATAGTTGTAGCCATAGCCCTTGTAGTCATAGTCGTCGCCGTAGCCGTAGTAGCTCTTGTGCTTGTAGTCGTCGCCATAGCCGTAGCTCTTGTGCTTGTAATCGTCATGCTTGTCGTCGTCGTAGCCGTAGCGCTTATGCTTGTGGTCGTCGTGCTTGTGGTCATCGTGACCATAGTCGTATTTGCCGTAGCTCGAGGACTCGGCGGCCTTGTTTTCCTTGTCTTCTAGACGACGACGGTAGTAATCCTTGTCGTGGCGGTGATGCTTTTTGCGGTCGTGGTCATGGTCGTGCTTCCGCGGGTGGTGTCCATAGTCCTTATAGGAGCCAAGTAGACGACGCGGAGCCGCTGAAGCACTGCCACGAGCGTCGGCTGCCTGCAGGATGGAAGCAGCGACACACAGGCCCAGTACGGCGAGGATCTTCGAGTGCATCTTGAAGGTTTCGCACGGAGCTGCGTGACTGGGGTCGGTCGTCGATTGCTGGGAAGGGCAAGATGAAAAGTGAGGAAGCGAGGACTGGCCGATCCGGTCGAGCTGCAGTCCTGTACTTGAGTAGTCGCTGTTGCCATCGCGGTCACCCCCTCGTCCGTCTCTCGCAATGTATCAACTGAACAGACATCATCTTTGGCTTCTTTTGATTGGTAAGGGATGCATTGAGACACAGAGAAGCGTCGAGAGAATGGCTTCTGTCATGATGGAGATGGAGTACTTAGACTGTAGAGA